GTCAAGGCAGTCTCCGTGGTTTCTCCAGTGGATCGTATCCACTGGAATGAGATCTTTGTCCTTTCCTACTTCCTTTAACCTTCCCCTTGACCTGTCTAGAAAGCCCTGTCTTCTTCTGATGCGCCGAACCAGGACTTGGAGGGAGAGCTCTCCTCCAGCACCACGGTTCAAGGGCATGGGCTTTCTTCTGAATGAGTGGTTGGTGCAGCTGGGGATGATGGTGAGGAAGGTGGGCTAGAACAGGTAAGGATAGCAACACCCTGAGCTCCTGGAGGGGATGAGGGTCTCTGCAGCTGCAAAGAAGCTCTGCTGGGGAGGGTCTTCAGCCTCCGCTGAGCCTCCTGGTCCACTGTGAGGGGGGAGTTCCTTGGACTGAGGTCAGAGGGGCTCTCGGTGACCCTGAAGGCACTTCTGGGCTTGAGGAAAGGAGCCTCCTTAGCCAGAAAATGTGGTCAGAAGGAAATCCTGTGCAAGTCCACCTATGGAAGCCGCCAAGCATTAGGGTCTGGTGCAGAACATCCCCATTCAAGGTTGCCCATGTGCCATTCATAGAATCATAGAATCCAAGAGTTGGAAGAGACCTCCTGGGCCATCATCCAGTCCAACCCCATTCTGCCAAGAAGCAGGAATATTGCATTCAAATCACCCCTGACAGATGGCCATCCAGCCTCTGCTTAAAAGCTTCCAAAGAAGGAGCCTCCACCACACTCCCTCCGGGGCAGAGAGTTCCACTGCTGAACGGCTCTCACAGTCAGGAAGTTCTTCCTCATGTTCAGGTGGAATCTCCTTTCTTGTAGTTTGAAGCCATCGTTCCCTTGCATCCTAGTCTCCAAGGAAGCAGAAAACAAGCTTGCTCCCTCCTCCTCCCTGTGGCTTCCTCTCACATATGTATACATGGCTCTCATCATGTCTCTTCTCAGCCTTCTCATCTTCAGGCTAAACATGCCCAGTTCCCTAAGCCGCTCCTCATAGGGCTTGTTCTCCAGACCCTTGATCATTTTAGTCACCCTCCTCTGGACACATTCCAGCTTGTCAATATCTCTCTTGAATTGTGGTGCCCAGAACTGGACACAATATTCCAGGTAATGTGGTCTAACCAAAACAGAATAGAGGGGTAGCTTCTTTATGTGAGAGGCTTCCTCTCACATATTTATACATGGCTATCATATCTCCTCTCAGCCTTCACATATTTATACATGGCTATCATATCTCCTCTCAGGCATGTAGCCGGGGGGAGGGGGGGCTTGAGGGGCTTCAGCCCCCCCCCCCCAAATGCATAGAATCATAGATTTTATGAGTTTGGGGGGGGGGAGGACTGAAGGGTCTAGACCAGTGGTTCTCAACCTGTGGGTCCCCAGATGTTTTGGCCTTCAACTCCCAGAAAGCCTAACAGCTGATAAACTGGCTGGGAATTCTGGGAGTTGTAGGCCAAAACACCTGGAGACCCACAGTTTGAGAACCACTGGTCTAGACATTGGAGACTCCAAGTCCCACCATTCCTCACAGCCTCAGCCACTTAAGCAGCTGAGGAGGAAAAGGAAGGGGCCTGAGGCTCTGGGACTGGGGAGTCCAAGAGGAGGTCTTCTTTTCTGCTGCTCCAGAGACTGGGACACAACGGAGCCACGGATTAGGGTTGTGCCTGTGATTGTGTCTAATGATCAGGGTCCTCTGGATGTTGGGAGTGACAATGAGGTCTCTGTATCTAATGATGAGCTTGCTTCAGATGCAGAGAATGACAATGGGATTCCTGTTCAAAGGGATTTTTCTGAGGGGAACGTTCCTGAAGGGTTTGAGGATGACGGTCTGTTCCCCAGGCCTGAATTGCTACTAAAAAAATCCCCAAGGCTTTGAGCCTGAGAAAGGCTAGGCACTTGGACCGGCTGCAGAAATTAATGAGCCAGTAGTTAGGAGGAGTGCTTTCAGTCAGCAAAGACAAACAAACCAGGCTCTCAGCCACTCTGCCAGATTGCAGGAGAGACTGATCGCAGATTCAAAGCTGAGAAGAAATCCTTTCCTGGATGCTTGGGATATAGAATAGATTAGGGGATAAAAGTGCCAAGTACGGAATCTGTAGCCAGACGAAGCAACGTTGGAATGGAGTCAAGACATCGTCTCAGGTCCCTGGAAGCCTTGCCTTGGATAGATTCCTGTATTACGTACCTTGTTATTTCCATGCTGAAGTGCCTGGTTTGATTCATGCTCAAGTTTTGGGGTTTTGTCTTAGAAGTTCCTGTATTTGTTATCGTGAACTCTGATGGACTGATTTCCTGGACTTGTTGTTATTACCTATCTTTTCTACCTAACTGGATTTACCTATTTTTGTGAATTGCTTTTTTACTGTCACTGTTTTGAGTTGGCCACAGTGGTCCATGCTCTTGTTACATCCCGATTGGATTACTGCAACGCACTCTACGTGGGGTTGCCTTTGAAGACTGCTCGGAAACTCCAACTGGTCCAGCGGGAGGCAGCCAGATAGCTCACCGGAGCGACATACAGGGAGCACACCACCCCCCTGTTGTGTCAGCTCCACTGGCTGCCGATCCAGTTCCGAGCACAATTCAAAGTGCTGGTTTTGACCTACAAAACCTATACGGCTCCGGCCCAGTGTATCTGTCCGAACGGATCTCCCTTTACGTCCCACCTCAGAGTTAAGATCCTCTGGGGAGGCCCTGCTCTCGACCCCGCCTTTATCACAAGTGAGATTGGCGGGGACGAGGAGCAGGGCCTTCTCAGTGGTGGCCCCCCACCTGTGGAACTCACTCCCCGGGGAGATTAGATCGGCAACGTCCCTTCTTTCATTTAGGAAAAAGTTGAAAACCTGGATATGGGACCAGGCATTTGGACATCATGGCAGCTAAAGAAAGACCTGATGACGAGCTGGAATTTGACGAGACGGAATGGATTTACGAAACTCCGAACGCTGAGCTCAGGATTAGTCTACTACTGTGTTACTGTATTGTTGTGTAGTGATGTTTTTAAATTTTTAATGTGTAATTGTTTAATTTGCTTATATATGTATGTATATGTGACAAAGGCATCGAATTGTGCCTTCCTCTGTAAGCCGCCCTGAGTCCCCCCCCCCCCCCGGGGTAAAAGTGACGGAAATAAATAAATAAATAAATATCTTCAATAAACTGCTTGCATTTTAGGCCTGTGCGATTCGTTTCGTTAATTCGTTAATTCGTTAATTATTCGTTAATTTTACCATTTCCGAAGCGATATTGAAACAAATCTCCAAACCCGGAAGGGTTTATAAATATCGAACCAGCAGCCCCCATAGTATTTACGAGCCTCCGCTCGTTTCGTTAATGGGGTGGAGGCTGCTGGAGTGCTGGTGCATGGGAGCCAATCCGGCGCTCCCAAGCAGTGCACCATGGGTCCGTGGCTGTCCCTTTTTGATTGGCCGGCGAGCCCTTTCAAAGCGGCTCCGCGCGGCCCGTAGCTTGGTGCAGAGGCGAGGGAGTTTGCATTGGGTTGGCTTGGCAATGGCTGCTAGCAACTGGGATTGGATTCATTCCTTGCTGCTGTGAGTGCTGCTTGCTTCATTTGCTGTCTCCTGCCTGTGTTTGGTCCACATTTGGGCCATTTTTTGGTTAATTTTCCATTTTTAAATATTTTTTAATATTATTTTTTAATATTATTTTTAATATTATTTTAATATTATTCTTAAAAAATATTCTAAAAAAGAAAAGACTCTTCTGTTGGTGTGTGCTCTCATTTGCTGTCTCCTGCCTGTGTTTGGTCCACATTTGGGCCATTTTTTGGTTAATTTTCCATTTTAAAATATTTTTTAATATTATTTTAATATTATTCTTAAGAAATACAAAAAATATTCTAAAAATTCGTTAATATTTACAAAATTTCTTAAATACCAAAACTTTTTTTTGAAAGTTTTGTAATTATTTTAAATATCGAAACAAAAAAACACCCCAATTACAAATCGATTTTAGAAACAAATTTTTTCTTGATCAAACAGGCCTATTGCATTTTACTCAGCTGTGTGGTGTTTAAAGTCAGAGGGCTTCCTAGTCTGGAGTGCAACAGATTCCTCTTAAACATTGGGAAGAACTTCCTAACCGTGTTTAGCAGCGGAAAATGCTGTGGGTGGAGCCTCCTTCCTTCTTTGGAGGTTTCGAACCAGAGGGTTGGGGAGGGCTCTGACTGGGAGCTTCTGCCTGGCAGGAGGGACTGGGTGGCCTCTGGGGGTCTCTTCTTCCAACTTTATAATTCAGTCAGTTCTTGTGGGTTTTTTCGGGCTATATGGCCATGTTCTAGAGGCATTTCTCCTGACGTTTTGCCTGCATCTATGGCAAGCATCCTCAGAGGTAGTGAGGTCTGCTGGAACTGGGGAAAAAGGGGTTTATATATCTGTGGAATGACCAGGGTGAGACAAAGGGCTTTTGTAAGTTGGGCTGGGTGTGACTCTTTCAGCTGACCACTTTGATTAGCATACAATGGGCTGACTGTGCCTGGAGCAAAACTCTTCTTGAAAGGTGATTAGATGTCACAACCACCATGTCAGACTACACAGAGAAGCCATTGAAATCCACAAACATGTGGACAATTTCAACAGAAAGGAAGAAACCAGGAAAATGAACAAAATCTGGCTACCAGTATTAAAAATCTCTAAAGTTGCAACAGCAAAAACAGCAGAGAGGAAACAACCAGGCACATCTAATCACCCTTCAAGAAGAGTTTGCTCCAGGCACAGTCAGCCCATTGTATGCTAATCAAAGTGGTCAGCTGAAAGATTCACACCCAGCCCAACTTACAAAAGCCCTTTGTCTCACCCTGGTCATTCCACAGATATATAAACCCCTTTTTCCCCAGTTCCAACAGACCTCTCTACCTCTGAGGATGCTTGCCATAGATGCAGGCGAAACGTCAGGAGAGAATGCCTCTAGAACATGACCATACAGCCCGAAAAAACCCACAAGAACTGAGTGATTCCAGCCATGAAAGCCTTCGACAATTTATAATTCAGTGATTCCACGCCACGGTCTGGTCCCACTTGTGTCCTTTATTCAACCGGAGAGGGTGAACACTCAGGATCAACGCAATCAGAAATCCCCTTTCTGTTGGGCACCTATGGCGAAACAGTTCAGAGGCTGCCCACCCGCCCCCTCCCAGTTCCTCCCAGTTGCCCCACTTCAAAGGCCCCCCTTCTGCAGCACATCTAGCCCAGCATGGAGAGAAACCAGCGGAGCAGCCCTTCTCCCGACGCGCCAAAGTCTCAACAGGGACGGAGAAGGAGGAAAGGGCAGCGGAGGAGGCCTTGAGACTTCCACCAACGACCTCGATCTCCGGAGAGACTCCACGCCTGATTTCGACCCATGTGCAAAAGTCCAAAGGCAGCAGCAAGGACGCCTCAAAGTTCATTGTGCTGAAGGCCTCGAGAGATCCTGCCAGAGATGTCCTGAAGGTGCTTCTTGACCTGAGGGCAGAGAGGAAACCCCAGGCGTTACTCCCGCTGGAAATAGCAACCTTCTACAAGCCTCCTATACTATTTCTTTATTTACCTTGCTTATATACCGCTGTTCTCAGCCCGAAGGCGACTCACAGCGCTTCACAACAACAAGAGACAGCAGAATGCAATGTTACAGTATAAAAGCAGTTATCAACTTAATACAGTTGCACAATTAATAAGCAATAAACAATTAACAATTGCTACAATAGCCATTCACTATCGTCTCGTCACCAAAACATGATCCAGATTCGTCATCCAATGATCCATTCCAGTGTTCGTTAACCAAGTTACTAGTTAATGGTTGTGTATATAATTCTGAACTCAAGAACGGGAAAAGGAATGTTGGAGGACAGGAAAAGAGATTTCAAGATGGGCTCAAAGCCAACCTTAAAAACTCTGGCATAGACACCGAGAACTGGGAAGCCCTGGCCCTTGAGTGCTCCAGCTGGAGGTCAGCTGTGACCATCAGTGCTATAGAATTTGAAGAGGCACGAATGGAGGGCGAAAGGGAGAAGCATGCCAAGAGGAAAGTGCCCGACCGGGACCGCCTTCCACCTGGAAACCAATGCCCTCACTGCGGAAGAAGATACAGAGCAAGAATAGGGCTCCACAGCCACATACGGATCTACCCCCAGGATACCACTTTTGGAGGCCCATCATCCTCGGACTACGAGGGATCGCCCAAGTAAGTAAGTAATAATTCAGATTGCCTACTGTATTGTATAGGTGTGCACTGGCATGCAGTTTTCCTTAACTCTAGGGTTGTGGGAGGGGCTGCAGACCATGTGACCAGATCTGGGATTGTTCAGGACTCAGACTCCATTTTAGAAGTCAGTAGAAACAGAATACTCTATTAGACTCTCAGAACAGGGAGATGCTTGACATGTTTATGTTAAGATTCTAAGAAAGATGCCCTGTGTTATTTGCATGGAGGAACTGTTTCAAATCCTACCTGTAACTGAACTGATATGCAAAGTCTCTGTACGCTGAGTACATGAAGTTTGAAAGTCACAGAGTCTTGCCCTCACAAATTCACCTCTCTAATTTAAATGGACTATAGTATACCACAAATGCTGTGGCATGCTGGTGCTGTGGACAATCATGGAATCAATGACAATCGTATTTATTTAGGGTATTTTTACCCCGCCCTTCTCAACCCCCTAGGGGGGACTCAGGGCGGCTTCCAGCCGGCACATATTTGATGCCTACAATTAAACACAATAAAATACATAACAAAACAGTAATTATAAATAATTAAAACATTGAGTGAATACAATAAAATCTACTAGAAAAAAAAGCCAGCCTGGTGGCCGTCGTCTTGCCGAGTTCTTAATTAGTGATTCCATTCACTATCGTAATCAGTTTCCATAGCTCTAGTCATCATTGTCCTTGTCAGTCTGCCAGATTACCCAAAGGCCTGGTCCCACATCCATGTTTTTAATTTCCTTCTGAAAGAGAGGAGGGATGTCGATGACCCAATTTCCCCGGGGAGTGAAGACCCCGGGGGGGGGGGGGTCACCACAGAGAAGGCTGAACGTATTCTCCCCTATGAACCATCAAGAGCGTTAAGATCGTCTGGAGAGGCCCTGCTCTCGGTCCCGCCATCTTCGCAGGCGCGTCTGGTGGGGACAAGAGACAGGGCCTTTTCTGTGGTGGCCCCTCGGCTATGGAATTCCCTCCCGAATGAAATTAGATCTGCCCCCTCCCCTCCTAACCTTTAGGAAGCTGGTGAAAACCTGGCTGTGCAACAAAGCTTTTGCAGAATGATGTCTGAGACCGGCAATCGACTAATGGTACTGATCACAATATATGGACTGGACATTCGGACTGAGTTGGACACGATTTTACCCAGGCGAACGGCTTTTATGTTATTTATGTAATGTAATTGGTAACTTAATGTTGTGTATTATGTTTTAGATTTCAGCGTTAGCATTGAATCTTTGCTGTTAGCCGGTCTGAGTCCCTCCGCAGAGGTAGAGAAGGTTGGGATAGAAAAGCTTTAAATAAATAATAAATAAGGCCCCGTCCCTTGTCCCCGCCAGTCTCGTTTGTGACAAGGGTGGGGCCGAGAGCAGGGCCTCTCCAGAAGATCTTAAATTCCTGGGCGGAACGTAGAAGGAGATACGTTCGTATGGGAAACTCTGCTATATATACCTTTTGTGCACTGGCATATCTTTGTCCCTAACAGTTCAAAGAGATATCTCGGTACATCAGTCTAACAGCTGAGAAACCCAGTTGCCTTGTGGATATTTACTAGGCCTGTGCGATTTGGTTCGTTAATTCGTTAATTCGTTAATAATTCGTTAATTTTACCATTTCCGAAGCGATATTGAAACAAATCTCCAAACCCGGAAGGGTTTATAAATATCGAACCAGCAGCCCCCATAGTATTTACGAGCCTCCGCTCGTTTCGTTAATGGGGTGGAGGCTGCTGGAGTGCTGGTGCCTGGAAGCCAATCCGGCGCTCCCAAGCAGTGCACCATGGGTCCGTGGCTGCTGTCTCTTTTTGATTGGCCGGCGAGCCCTTTCAAAGCGGCTCCGCGCGGCCCGTAGCTTGGTGCAGAGGCGAGGGCGAGGGAGTTTGCATTGGGTTGGCTTGGCAATGGCTGCCTGCTAGCAACGAACTGGGATTGGATTCATTCCTTGCTGCTGTGAGTGCTGCTTGCTTCATTTGCTGTCTCCTGCCTGTGTTTGGTCCACATTTGGGCCATTTTTTGGTTAATTTTCCATTTTAAAATATTTTTAATATTATTTTAATATTATTTTTAAATATTATTTTAATATTATTCTTAAAAAATATTCTAAAAAAGAAAAGACTCTTCTGTTGGTGTGTGCTCTCATTTGCTGTATCCTGCCTGTGTTTGGTCATTTTTTGGTTAATTTTCCATTTTAAAATATTTTTTAATATTTTTTAATATTATTTTTTAATATTATTTTAATATTATTTTTAAAAAATATTCTAAAAAAGAAAAGACTCTTCTGTTGCTGTGTGCTCTCATTTGCTGTCTCCTGCCTGTGTTTGGTCCACATTTGGGCCATTTTTTGGTTAATTTTCCATTTTAAAATATTTTTTAATATTTTTAATATTATTTTTTAATATTATTTTAATATTATTCTTAAAAAATATTCTAAAAAAGAAAAGACTCTTCTGTTGGTGTTTTCTCTCATTTGCTGTCTCCTGCCTGTGTTTGGTCCACATTTGGGCCATTTTTTGGTTAATTTTCCATTTAAAATATTTTTTAATATTATTTTAATATTATTCAAAAATATTATAAAAATTCGTTAATATTTACAAAATTTCTTAAATACCAAAACTTTTTTTTGGAAAGTTTTGTAATTATTTTAAATATCGAAACAAAAAAACACCCCAATTACAAATCGATTTTAGAAACAAATTTTTTCTTGATCAAACAGGCCTAATATTTACCACTAAGGAGAAGGTTGACTCAAGCGAGTTTTTAACTCTTCTCAGGGAGATTCCTGATTTTTCCCCAAATGGTTATGAATGCCATTTTCCAAAAGGTTATGGAGATTTCCATTTCCCAAAAATTCCATTCGTTCCTATCTGCTTTTGTCTGAGGGAGAGGCACCGCTGGAGCAGCCACACTGGTCTCTTGCACAACTCAGGCAAGGAATATTGTTAACTGTGCATTTTAAGTGGTGCTGTGAAGGAGTTTAATCCCATATTAACGTTGCTTCATGGAATGCTCGCTTTAGGACATCAAGGGCTGTTGTGGCACCTGAGAGAGACAATGAAGTGGGCAGCAGGAAGGCGCATCTACACTGCTGAATGGGTGCAGCTTGACTTCCTTGCCTCAATGCTATGTGTGATGATTCTTACCTCGCAGGCCAAAGTAGGAGCCTGAAATGTCAGTAAGCAGGCCTCCATTTTGAGAGTGTAAGCGAGGGAGGCAGACATCTTGGGAGTGTAAGAGTAGAAGAGGGGAGGAGCTGGAGCTCTCTCTGGATTGGTTAAGGCAGAGATTGATTTTTGGCTTTGAAGGAAGAGGGTGATTTTTGGGAACAGAGTAGAGAGGCGGATTTTTGGTGAGCAAAGGTTTTTTACTGCCAGAGGGCATTTGGGACAGGCGATTCTACATTTATTTGGCCAGGAGGGTCAAAGTAGACGCCTGTGTGCTTGTGTTGGATTTATTACACAAGTGGTTTGCTCTCTGGGGTCAGAGTAGTTTAGCTGTTAGAGAACTCTGTCTAGAGTGTAGCTATTTGCTCTGGGGACAACCGGGTTAGGTTTGTCTGGGGAACTCACTGCTACTGTGTCAGGGTAGAGTGAGGAGTCTTGCTCATAACTAAGTTAAGAAACCCGTTTAAGTAACCATTAAGAACATTGAGCCTCGGTAACCATTCAAGCTTGTGCGCCTCATTAAAGAAGATAGTTGTTTGTTCAAATATATTAATAAACATTTCTCTAGTTCAACTTTTAAGCAGCCTCAGTAGTGGATTCATTCTGTGAGAATAATTCCAGTGGTTTTTAACATCTTTACATCTCAGTCATTTCAGGGAGCCAAAGGGAGAGCTGGTGGGCAGGAAGGGATTTACCTCAGGGACAACATCTTTAGTATTCCCAAATTACTTTGGGTGGTGGCAGCAACTCTATCAGAGTATACACATTACTTCAACAATCATCTAAACCAGTGTTTCTCAACCTGGGGGTTGGGACCCCTGAGCTGCTCCTGGAGGGGTCGCAAGGGGGTGTCAAAGGGGTCACCAAAGGTCACCATAAAACACAGTATTTTCTGTTGGTCATGGAGGTTCTGTGTGGGAAGTTTGGCCCGATTCAATCATTGGTAGGGTTCAGAATGCACTTTGATTGTAGGTGAACTATAAATCCCAGCAACTACAATTCCCAAATGTCAAGGTCTATTTTTCCCAAATTCCACCAGTGTTTACATTTGGGCATATTGAGTATTCATGCCAAGTTTGGTCCAGATCCATCATTGTTTGAGTCC